TGATCAAGCATGCTATACAGGTTTTGAAAATATGTATAAAAATGTATGTTTTTATCTACTAATATGTTGGGTAGAGCATGGGTAGATAGTTGGTGTGTAATAAACAGATGAGAAGCCTCGTTGTTTTGATCCAGTCATCTAGCGGAATTTAGATGGCGACCACGGACTTTTCTAGACAGTCTAGTGGAACGCTAGCAGGCTCATAACCTGTAGGTGTTAATGAACTTGGGTGTTCATTCCTGTATTCCATCCCCCTCATGGTTGCCTTATTTGACTTATATTGCTGAGGAACCCCCGCAGCATGTGTTGTCACCCCGATGAAAATATTCTTAGACTAGGTCCCTTGTGTTAGTTATTTTAGGGACATAAAGTGAGAATAACGGGAATGGGTAACTGGGTTATTGTTGGTTGATAATAATTAATTTAATTATTTATTGTGGGTTGAAAACCCTATATGTTCATCAGGCTCCCAAGCCTGACCCACTCAGTTTTATTTGTATTACAGGAAGTGGCGCAATGGCGTAAGATGGATGAACCATCAAGTTGTTTTGTTTACAAGTCTGTATATGTATATATTTGTTGAATGACTTGTAATGTTATCGTTTATGCTTATTGGTATGTATCGGAACATGACACCCCGAGTTTTGATTATATAATGAAAAATACATTTCTTTTATTAAATGCTTTGGTAAACATTGTTTTATCATGTTTTGTTTTTGGGAACAAATTCCGCAATTCTTTCAAATCAAATGGATTTAGTCTGAAATTATTTTTAAAGCATAAATGAAAATCGGTCTTTTCTGGCCGAGATTTTGGGGATGTCACAATATATAAACTTATAATATTATAAAGTATAAAGGTTGAATTTTAACTTTTAAAATTCTAAGGGTTGGACCTAAAGTTTATTAGATGACTTTACATATTCCAAAACTTGAGGGAAAGTTTTGTAACTTTAGAAAACCTTTTAATTCATAACTTATGATTTATTAAAAATGAAGACTCTTCATTTTTGTAACTTATGTGTTCTTTTAATGGATTTAATACTAAGTGACTTTTGGTTATCCATAACTTGAGGACAAGTTATGGACTCCATTAAAACACATAAAGATCATGAATTAAGCATTAAACAAGTAATTCCTATGATCTATCAAGAGCTCATAAGAACATGAATATACATATCAAAATTTCAAGAACATATGAACACAGATAAACATGTAATTTTGATATTAGCCATTGTAAATGGATTAGAACTGCCATTACACCATCTAAAACAAGTTTTAAAACACCAAAATAGTTTAGAGTAATGTTTTTAGTCCATTTCCAATAGCAAAAATAGAAAATATGTACTCTGTATGGCCAACTCGTCGAGTGCAATAACCAACTCGCCGAGTTGGTTGAAGAATCACTTGGACTCGTCGAGTCCTCCCATGGACTTGGCGAGTCCCCTGTGCAGACAACAAGAAAATCGATTTTTTCAACTATTTTGCATCAAGTATCAAACAAACAAGCCTAGACTCTGATACCACTATAGGGTTTAGAGCATTCTAACACTCCTAGGTATACATGTAACCCTAGAAAACCTTGGATCTATGTTTGTCTAAAATACATGTAAAATACTTTTTCCAAGGTTCATAATCCTATCTAAAATATATGGGGAACTTTAAACATAACATATGGCTAGAATTACATACAATGTAGTTGACTTGATTCCTTGAAAACCTTGTGAGCCCAGCACCCCAAGTGTGATGCATTAAATGTCTCACACAACACCAAGTACACTTGGAAAGACTTTGAGAGAATGTATAATACTTCTAAAATCGACTAGTGCTCACTTGTTCTTCTAGTGGCCGATTTTGGTGAGCTTCATATCCTTTATATAGTGTGTTACATCTAGGGTTACACCATGTAAACCCTAATGTCACATGACTCTTCATTTCCATGACCCATGGGTTTGTAACTCCCACGGAACATCTTATGAGCCTTAGCCTAACTTATAATCCATGGAGCATTAAGCCGAGTATACAAGTATGAGTGATTTACTCAATCAAATCATATATTTAATTAGTGACATTTTGATCACTTAATTAATACTAGATTAATTCTTGATCAATACTAAATAAATACTATTATTAGTATCTTAGAACTTATAATATATTAATAAGTCATAAGTGTTATTTCTCTCATTTTAGTCTATCCAAATGCATGATGCCATGCAACCCAAATGGACCATGCCAAACTGGGTCAAGTACATACCAGAAATAGTTATGGACTTAGACATCTTATCCAAGAGTTATGATCTATATGTTGTTATGATCCGTTTGATCAGTATCCTGGTAGATCGTAACATCCCCCTCTGGCACGTATCACAATATTGTCCGCTTTGGGCCACTCGGCACGAGTACTTCCCAGGGGGTCACCCATCCTGGTACTACTCCCGCCCGAGCATGCTTAACTGCAGAGTTCTTATGGGATCTGCTACCCTCACGATTTTAAAACGCGTTGTGATAGGGAAAGTATCCACACCCCTTATAAGGAATGTTTAGTTCTCCTTCACAGCCGATGTGGGATCAGATCTAACCCACTTTCACACCCCATTATAGGGTTCGACGTCCCCGTCGAACACATCGACCCGTGCCCTAGCTCTGATACCATTTGTAACATCCCCCTCTTACACGTATCACAATATTGTCCGTTTTGGGCCACTCAGCACGAGGACTTCCCAGGGGGTCACCCATCCTGGTACTACTCCCGCCCGAGCACGCTTAACTGCAGAGTTCTTGTGGGATCTGCTGCCCTCACGGCTTTAAAACGCGTTGTGATAGGGAAGGTATCCACACCCCTTATAAGGAATGTTTAGTTCTCCTTCCCAGCTGATGTGGGATCAGATCTAACCCACTTTCACCCCCCCCCCCATTATAGGGTTCGACGTCCCCGTTGAACACATCGACCCGTGCCCTAGCTCTGATACCATTTTGTAACATCCCTTTCTGGCACGTATCACAATATTGTCCGCTTTGGACCACTCGGCACGAGTACTTCCCAGGATGGGTGACCCCCTGGGAAGTACTCGTGCCGAGTGGCCCAAAGTGGACAATATTGTGATACGTGCCAGAGGGGGATGTTACATAGATATGATGTTATATGTTGCTATGATCTGTTAGATTGGTTTGTCTGCTATAGACTGTGATGTGAATATCTGTTATATGTGCACATGGTTATTTGATTGGGGGTTGGGTTGAGGCGGTCCTACTTTGTGTTGAAGGCCAACATACCCAGCGAGCGGTCCGGATAGGTTGAAGGCCCTGTGAGGCGGTCCAGTCATGCCGAAGGCTTGGGAGCGGTCCGGATAGGTTGTAGTCCCTTCGAAGCGGTCCAGTCAGGCTGAAGGCTCATTATGCATGTTGTTCTGTATTTGTTGATATGATATGATTATGGTTATATGAGGTTGGTATTTTGGGGGTAACTCACTAAGCCTTCGAGCTTACAGTTTCAGTTTATTATTTCAGGTTCAGCGGATGACTGCGAGAAGGCGAAGGCGTGACCGTACAGTTCCTCGATTGATGATTATGATTTCTGGGAACTCTGATGTTTAAACTATTTTGAAAACAAATTTTAATAACTGAATGGTTTTAAATGATTTAAAAAGTTTTAAATTGGTTCGAATTTTATGAACGTTACATTTTTCTATTTGCCACTGAACTATTGAAATTGTTCACATTTTACCCTTATGGCCGGCTGTTACCGGTCATAAGGGTAAAATGTGAACAGTTTCAATAGTTCAGTGATAGGTTGATAATGAAAAAAAGTTTAGTGATTAAATGTGAACAAAATCGAAAATCCAGTATCCTTTCAAGCCATTATCCCATTTATTAAAGCTGACATTTATAATATCTAGTTCAATAGAAAACGACATATAATTTATTAAATGCTTATGGTTTGTATGAATTTTAACATTATGATATAACGATATAAAAAAAACGTACTTTTGTAACGATATAAAGAAAAATGGATTTCAGAGTTGAAAATATGTCATGTTCAGTATGTCGGATCATGTGATATTTATATGGTTCTGAAAAACAATATATTTGGATTTTATAAATGGAAAAATATCGGCTATACGTATTTGTTGAGGTTGAATTCCAAAATACAGACACAAAAAATTGGATTTCCGGGTATAGACATGGGTTCCATGAAGATAAGCTACGAGGGCTCTGCAGAATCCATGTAGCTCCGTAGAATGATAAAATCGTAAAGAAATCAAGATAAAAAACTCATAATCCATTCCGCAGAGCTACTTCCGAGGAATGAACTCATTCCGCAGAGGTAGCTCTGAGCAATGGATCTTCCATTTTTTTTTTCATATCGATTATTTGGGGGTTATACTCATTCCCCAACTAATAATTTTTAATAATAGATTATGAAAATATGAATTTTTCTTGACAATGTTTGGAATGAATGTAAGGTGGAAAAAATTGGTCTTTTAATCGGAGATCTTTACATAAAAGAATCATCGGAGGAATGAACTCATCCTGCAGAGGTAGTCCGAGAAATGGATCTTGAGTTTTTTTTTTTTTTTTTCTTTTCTTTTGTAATACCCTGATTTATTTACGGTTTTGTCATTCTACGGAACTACAGTAGATTCCGCGGAGCCCTTAGAGCTTGCCTCCACAGAATCCATGACTATACCCGAAAATCCATTTTTTTATGTCTATATTTTGAAATTTAATTCCAAAAAATATCTATAACCGGTATTTTCCCTATATAAATACCTTATTGAATTAATAAACGAAAAATTACTGTTTACATAATCTAAATAGTTGGTGATGAAAACAGTGACCATGATATGTTTGGGAATAACAAATAACACTAACAGAATTTATTTATACTATTGAGTATGGAGTTTCATTCACATTTAATTCGGTCAATACCATTTACCAATACAACAACCTTAAGAAATCATTTTGGGTAACAAACTGTAAAAAACCTTTCCCATAATCCATAGCACATATTTATTTTTGCTTTTATTCCTGTTGAACCCACAATTTCAATCCATTTATATATAAAATACTTTAACTTGATTCACATTCTACGAGTAACAAATCAAACAAATTAAATTAAAATTTTTAGTTAGCAAAAAGAACTAAGCTTATAATTATAAACATCATAACATAACTAGTACTTTATACACTTCTTAGTTAGTATTATATTTATATACTCATCTCTTGCATCTATCATCTAACTCTTCTTCCACTTTCTCCTATCCTGTTTTTCTCCCCCCTGTAAAACATTCAAAACAAACTCAACATTCTCTTCAAATCAAGAAATAGCATCCTACTTTACTTTTTTTTAACTATATAAATAATGTAAAAAAAAGTACATTGCTATTATTGACATATACTTACAAGTAACCGAGTTCCTTGTGATTCATGGCTAGAGTTCACATTCACACCCTCTAATCTCTCACTTGGCTGATTAACTCTTCGAATCAACTCATGTAAATGATTATATATACTGCATATTCATTAAAAAAAAAGTTTATAAAATTTTCATTTTAATAAAAAAAAACGTGTAGAAATTACGAATCTAACCTCAATCGATGTCTATTGCAAGCTGCAAAGAACGCAACAAACCCGTTTAAAATACTCCGAACAGCTCGGAAAACCTAAAACAATAAGGAAATGTGTAAGTAAAAATAACAAAAAGAGAAAAATTAATTAATGAAATAAAAATTACACCTGGGAAAATAAGTCGTTCCAAAGGGATCTCCAAATGGAAACCTCGTAAGTGTGGACTGCTGACTCAGCATTTGAAGCTAATTTAAATATATCACTCACGAGAATCCATATTTCTCTAAATAAATCGTATATTTGGTTGTACATAAATCCCACAAAATTTGATACACCAAGAATGAGACTTATTGGTGCATAAAGTATCCCCCAAATGAACCAAAATATTGGGTACATAATACTCATTACTGCAAAAAAAAAAAAAAACAAATAATAAATATTAATCACTTTTAACAAAATAAATAACCACTTATTTTGCGAAATTCCATAAACTGCAAAATTACTTTTACCGACAAAAGGTGCGACAGATTACTGATTTTTTTTTAAACAATTCATTTCACAAAATATGAACAAGTTTGAAATATAATTACGAAATATAATCGTTCTCAATCTTCTTCTTTTTTTTTTTTAATTAATGATGGGAATATTTGTGAGTTTACTATAATAAAATACGAAATTACTTTCACGCATATTTGTGAAATATGTATTTCTTTTCGAATTTACTTTCACACATATTTGTGAAATATGATTTTCTTTTTTGGTGGTGGGGACCATTTATAAAGCAAGTTAGCATTTCACAATCGACCACATTGCTAAATTAAGAGTAAATTACATGAATGGACCTGGTTTAATGTAATTTGCGCGTTTGATTCCTACATATTTTTTTAACTTGGAAGGTCCTTACTGTTTGTTTTTGTTACGTGCTTGGTCCGTGTTTTGTCGAAAAAAAAAAAAACTATTTTGCCTTTAATTTTTTAATTTATTTAAATAAATACACTCTCAGCCTCATCCCTTCATTTTACTTTGTTTTTATCCACTCCATCATTTTTTCCTATTTAAATAATAATATTTTTAGCTAAGATAGGGACCAAACGCGTAACAAAAACAAACCGTAGGGATCAAGCGCGTAACAAAAACAAACAATAGGGACTTTCTGAGTTTAAAAAATAAGTTAGGGACCAAATACACAAATTACCGTAAACCATAGGGACCATTCGTGTAATTTACTCCTAAATTAATTGTCATTTTGTTAAAAGGAACTAAAAAATGGTCAATTTCTTACATACGAACTTTTTGTTATTATCCCTAAGGAGTAAAAAAAAAAATGCTCCAAATTAACAAAATCGACATTTTAAAAGACAAGTCAACTTACCAATTGTCCAAACAACCGAAGATAAGAACCACACAGGAAGCATAACAGCTTCAATTAGATTTTCCACCAAATCCCACGAACTTTCCATCAAAATCCCCAAAAACGAGCACAAATATTGCCCAAATTTCACAAACAAATTCCAAAACGGAAGAAGAATTTCAAGAAAATCAAGAAACGGACCAGATAACGGTTGTGTAACAATCGAAACAAACGATCTCACAGTCCTCGTCATCATCAACAACCACACAAGGGCTTTCTCGGAATTATGCAAAAAAAGCATCGTCCCTAAATACTTAATCCTCGACACCATTTCCCACGTTTCAATCCAATCAAAAAGTGGCCCACATAAACGTGAAGCAGTTGCTTTAAGCACAGGGACGTTTTTGTAAAGATCATAGAAACCAATGACAACTGTAACAATGGAGATGATGACATACAGAGCTCTTGCTAAAGGGCACATCCATGGTCGATAAATATGGCAAAAAACAGGGTAAGATTGGGAGAAAATTACCCATGATGGAAGTCCAGCTTCTAGAAGAGTCAATAATCTTAAATCAGATACGATTATTTCCTTTAATTCAAAAGGGAGATCATGGTTGTTAAACTTGAATAAAAGCAACACGTCTTTTGACTCACTGGGTTCAGCTGTTTCATCGCAATCGGTTAACGAGGGCATTTTGGTAATTACGGTTCTTCCGTTACTTATGTCTGTGTAAATATTCACCTCGATATCGATTCCTGCTGAATTTGTTAGTTTTCTTCTCTTATAAGGTGGAGGGGTGTGGATTTCTTCACTTGTTTCATTTTCTAAAGTTTCTACCTTTTTATCAAGATTTTCCCCTTGTAAGGTTTTTTCATCATCTTTTGTACAAGGGTATTCTTGGAATTCTTTTGGGGCGTCATAAAACTCATCTCCTGTAGATACATATCATATCAGTTAACCTGATTTTCTTGATCTAGAAAGAAAATAAGAGACCACAAAAAGAAAAGGAAAAATGGGACAAGGGCAAAAAGGTAATTATACCTAGCATAGAGTTGAGATGCTCTTCCAAGATTGATTTTTCATTAGGTGTTCCTGGAAACCATGAATTTATGCATTTAACTGATTGAGCTATGCTATCGAATTCCCATCTTTTCATGTATTTAGCCTCTATAGCAAGAGATGTATCAGTCTGTTCATAAGTGACAGATATTGAGGGATTATAAATTATAAATTATATATATATTTATCTAAAGGAATAAGGAAAGAAATGGAAATACCTGAAGTTCATTTAAGTAATTGATACCACGAACATCTTTCCATGAAACTTGAAAGACAATGAATCCGTATAAAGTTCTGTGTAATTTGCTATTTGCAAGAAGGGAGCTTCTGAGTTTCTTTACAGGTAATAAAGCTCTCTTTTTTGATAAAGCTGCAGCATCAACTACTGAAAACCATTTTTTCAAGTTTTGGGTATGGGTTGAAGGTTTGGAATTCACCTTCTGGTTGATGAACTCTTTGGTCTTTTTCTTTCCCTTTCTGCCCCTTGTGTTTGCAAAAGGGGACATCCTTGACTGAAGATGTAATCAACAAGAAACATCATGAATCTTTGAACATAATTACATAATTGCAACTTAATCATTATGAATCTATGATGTATGATACCTTGGTAACCATCAACTGCCATAGATGTGCAGGTCTTGAAGCTAGATCTTCCAGCCATGGTCGATTATCCACCAATACATAAAAGGTGTTACTATCAGGGGTTAAGAAAAGGGTAAGATCGGAGAGATAAGACTGAAGATCCCTGTGAGGAAAAAGAAAGCAACGATTAATGTCTGGTATAAGAATTTGCAATAAAAACTTTATCAATTTGTTTGTTCTCAGAAGAGACAATGTCAGAGATCAAGGCTTTAAAGCTGAACTTTTACTTTATTTCGAAAATTTAAGGGGTCTACCAGAAAAAAAAATTCAAATTTTACACCAAATCGCAATTCGAAACTGAACATTGCTAATTCAAGTGAATTTGATAAGATAAAGGAAAAGTTCATACCCAATTTGGAAGCTGGTTAAAGGATAGAAGTATCTCCTCATGTAAACCACGCTTTAACTCCTGATTGAACTCGATCGGCCAAATCAAAGCGATAATCTCATGAGCTTCTAGGAGATGATATTAAGAGTGAAAACACACAAATTTGGTGAATGAACATAAATAATGTAACAGTAATCAAGTGAATTTAAACCTGAAGATACTTGATTAATCCAGTACCCACATGCGTGTTGTAACGAACTAGAATAAGAAAGGAAAGAAGTACTGCCGAACTTCATAACAGAGAGAGGGATCACGCCACACGAATCAGAGCATCCATGAGCAATTAAACCACATATCACGCCGATGATGAATTGATGAATTCAAATCCGTTTATGAATTAAAATCAATCAATACCACATGCGTAGTAATCTTCTTCCCTTACTCTCTCACACACAAAAACATGATTTTCTCTGTGTGTGTATGTGTGTGAGACTTGATATCAAAATTAAGAAGAAGGGGAAACTTCGAATAACTTCGAGATGAAGAATTATGGCGTGGATCTCGTCAACCATACGTAAGAGACGAATCAAGGTTCAATTGCTGCTTGGGGAGAAAGCGAAGGATTGAGGGGCAAAAAGATAATTTTACTCAGAGGTATGAGACTTCTGCCGCCATCGCCGTTATGAGAGCGACGCCGGAGAAGTGGATAAATGCTAAAGATGCCCACCGAATAAACCCGGGCAGGATTTGCGGGTCAGTTGGGGATGATACTATGTGGCTCACGTCCATGGGATCTTATGGTTCCTCTTTGGAACCCCCTTGTATAATGGTCTAGTTGCAAAAGAAGCCCCTCATTTATTAAAATCATGTAGATAAACCCCCTTTAATATCATGGAGATTGCAAAGGCAAATAAGAAACCTTATAGAAATTCAGCAAAACTATCCATGCAAGGCTTACATATATGTGTAAAATTTGATAGACAGTTTTAGGTTTTAGGTATAAAGCATTTGCATATTCACATAAAAGACATGTATATGCATGGAGAAGCCACATATATCTATATATAGATCTTGAAAAGTGAGTATGTTGTTTGTCAATGCTAGTTGTTGCTTGCTTTAGACTAATGTGGATAATTAATATTTTTCAAAGTATTTAATGCTTTATTCTCACTTGCCCCTCACTTAAGCAAATAACTAAATAAGTTCTATGTTGAAAAATGACTTGTACATGTAGAGTTAGAGCTAAAAAAAGGAAGATTTTTTGTATGTCAATCCAAAACCATGGGTGTTTGTATTGGTGAAGATAACATCTTTTTTAAATTGAGGTATCAAACATGTAAAGGTTGGTGTCATCTACAACTAGATCAAAAAGGTTTAAATGTTTTTTTTTCTAAAGAAAAAGATAACTATAATTACACATTTATACGAGGACATATATCGACAAATTTATTATACTTTAGAGGCAACGCAGTATCTAAAAAATATCTTGTCATCTTTTTGCAAAAAATAAAAGAAAATTTTCTAACTATGAAATTTATTATCTTTTCCGATTTTTTTTCTTGTTCTTTTTTATATGTTTTTTTTTCTTATTTGATCTTTTTTCTTCTTATTTTTTCAAATTTGTTTTGGATTGTTTCTTGCTTTTGGTTGATTTTTGTTTTGAATTTGAGTCCTTATTTATTTTTGGAACATGACTTAAAGAAACAAAAACCATATTAGTTTTCTAGTCGTTATCAAACAAATACACATATATGCCAAAAGATAAAACATGGTATCAAGAAACAAGTACATGTCTCTATCAAAGTATCAATGTATTTTGAAAAATCATTACACCAAGAATCTTTGTCATCTATATATAAATGGCCTCATAATATGTTTTTTTAATCACTTTACATAATATTTACAACTAGATTTGTGTTTGCTTTTAAAACTTTGTCATCTATAATGTTTGCATTTTGTTATTAGGTTGATACTTGTCTATTTAAAAAAATGGTTTGATCTTCGAGACTTTTGGGACGTATTTTTAACTAATAATATTGGTATCCTACCATAGGAATTACATAAACAAATTAGCTAGTAACATCTTTACATTTTTGGTAAGGGGGTTTATGTCAACTTCTGGTAACATGAGGGTCTAAGAAGCAATGGGTAATAATGTAAGGGCCCAACTGCTATATTGTCGCGTGTTATGTCTATCGATTTGTGTGAAGCAGTTGTTCTTATCGTGTGGGGTAGCACGTGGTTGTGGTTTTATATGGCTAAATTTCTCAACCCACCTAAACCAACAAAAACAAATGCGTCCATTAATACCATTTTAGGATCCTTTTCTATAAAATATTAAAGTACTTATCCTTAGGTCATCTTGTTTGCTAAATTATCGTTCAAATTGGATACTGCAATCATAGGTATGAAAGACTTCTTTATTAACGACAATATAATAAAAAGACAGTATTGAAGGAAATTGTAAGTCTTTGTATAAAATTGTATAAAAAGACATAAGATAAATACATACTTTTTTAAAAAATAACTTAATAGTTTAGTTATTATAGGTAGGACTTTGAAGGAACTTTTTTTTCTATAAACATTATATTTTTTTGGACGACAAATATAATCAACTTTTAAACTACTCTTAATTTCACTAATGTTTTTAACGAGACGTGAACCCCGACCCCTAAAAAGGAAACAACATCTGATATCATTGGGTAGAAGTTATTGACATTGTAAATTAGTATGAGCTATTGCAATTATTTCAACACAAGAAGATGGCGATTGAAGTTATTATGATGATAGAATGTTGGGTTCTTTGGTGATTTCATAATGATGTATGTTTTAATTCCAATCCTTAATAACAACGAGCTCGGTTTTTATTCAACAATAGAGTATTTTTGTAGTATAATAATAGAAATAGAAAGACCAGTATATCTTGGGTTTTTTGGATTCAAAATCCGAATTTTAAGATTGTTCTAACTCTTTATTTATTTATTTATTTTTATTTTGTTTCAAAACCAAATTAAACCTAATTTTTAGAAAGGACTCAACGTCTCTTATTTCCACGTGTCTTTTGACTTAGTCCACGTCTTTTTGAATATATGGTTCATTAGCATGACCTAGACAGCTTTGGCGTGCCAGCCTTTTCTAACGCTCCCTTACCAGCCTTGTTGGGGACTCTCCTGTCGGCCCAATATGACGCTCCCTTGGTTGTCGCTCCCTTGTCAGCCTTTCCTGATACTCGCTCGCCCGCCTTGTCCGTGGCGCGCTTGTCAGCCTTGCCTGACGCCTCCGGGCGGCCTTGCACAACTCCTTTTAGGTGGGCTTGAATTGGGTTGGCCCAAGGTGTGAATAACCATGCAAATTAGCTTGGTATACCCGATGTTACAAATCACCTAATCAATGTGCCGGTTGACCACACACGCTTCATTGATCTATGATTAACATCAAGCTACCCTGCGCCACACATTGTCAGTCCTAGATTAGTGTGCCAGTAAACCATCCACGCTCCACTAACAACTTAACAATGGTACAAAGTGTAATTTTATGGATTAACATCATTTTCACATTTTTCCTAAAGTAATTAAGATTAAGATTCTAATAAAAGTTTAGTTACTTTATATTTATCATTATAATTTTAATGAGGGAGAATTAATATCCTATCCTACTTGTTCACCTAACGATCCTCCATCAATCAAGGAAACAGTGGGTGATGGTGGGCACCCATTAAAATATGATTTTATAGGCAGTAACCTTATACCCCCTTAAGGGTTGAATTTTAACTTTTAAAACTATAGGGTTTGAAATTAAAGTTTCATTAGTGACACTTTACAAATTCCAAATCTTGAGGACAAGTTTTGAAACTTGTCAAAACTCTTCATTTCTATAACTTATGAGTTTAATTGCATTTTAATGGATGCGACCTTTCATTTTTCATAACTTGAGGACAAGTTATGGAGGTCATTAAAAGCATTAAGATCAACATTTTAACTAACAAAAATTATCAAGTAATTTATCTATGATCTAGTTAAACTCATAACACAAGATAATTCACATCAACAATTTTACAATAAATTAGCCTAATCATATAAACTAATACAAATCTTGAAATTTTGACAATTATCTTCTAACTGGATGAAGATAATCACTACCATATCAGAAAAAAAAAATTATGATTCAAAAGAGTTTGTGGTATTGATCCTAATCCAATTTTGGTTAAAAACCTCAAATTTCTGCAACCAGAGCCTGCAACTCGTTGAGTGCATGAACTGACTCGTCGAGTTGCTCTATTACTGAGTGGACTCGGTGAGTTCACCAGTCAGATGCCAGGAAATTGATTTTTTCAACTTTGAAAATTAATAAGTATCACGTATAACAGAAAACAACCCTAGGCTCTAATACAACTGTTGGATTTTGAGCACTATAACACTCCTATGGTGCACATGCAACCCTAGATGCTTTGGATCTATGTTTTCTCTAATTATACATGCATATTTTCAATTTTCCAAAGCATACATCCTAACTAGCATACAAATTGACATTTGACTAGTTAGATGACTTACCTCTTAAAAGGACTTGTAGTTCTTGACCTTTGAAAGCTTGAGTACCTCAAGAGGAGGCTTGATAGAATAGGTTACTTAGCACAAAATCAATACACACCCTCCAAGAATGTTGTGGCAACTCGTGTCACCGATTTTAGCTCTAGGTGGTTTATTTATAGTGTGGCAAGTGCTAGGGTTACACATTGTAAACCCTGATGACCTTTTATATTATTTAGGCTCCATAAGTTAAAACCTCCATGGACTATCCATGGATTATGTCATTGGTTTATCACATCCTAAATAACATGGATCATTAGCCCACACTATAAGAATCATTAATTTACATAATCAATCCCTATATATTCAATTAGTCTCTTTTGATCATAAAATTAATTCCAAATTAATTATTGATCAATACTAATTAAATAATATGATTTCATATTAATATATTATACTTGTAATATATTAATAAATCATAAGTAACTTATTCTCAAAAGTCCATCCTATTGCACTGGCGAAGACAACCCAAAAGGACCATGCTATAATCGGGTCAAGTACATCCAGTTATAATTATGGGCTTAAGCACCAAATCCAACAAACAAGACCTTTTAATCCATTTTCCATGTTGGCACCTTTTTATTTAGGCATATCCTACTTTACCAGAATGTATTTTGTTTGAATTTTAGGACCTAATTTTAGTAACTTTAAGGTTCTAACATGTTTATAATTCAATTTTACTTAATTTATTAAAAAGATCCCAAATTTAACAAAACGTGGCTAAAAGTCAATTGTCAACTTTTTTACAACAACAAAATTTGTATGCCACCAAGTTTAAACTTTCGTAACTCTTATTTATGACCTTCAAATGATTGATTTTTTGCACCTTCCTTGGTTACATGTTAGGCTCAATAATCAAATTATTTGAATAAGTATAACATGCCGGAGAACACTCTACCGATCAAGCTACCACCTCCGATTACTCCTAATTCTTGTCTTTCTCTACATATCGACCCTTAACAGATGCTTTCCACTCCTTTCCCAACCCAAAACGAAAAACACTTATCAACCGTTTCCGCCACAATCAATCTCAAAGTTGAAATGGCAAACCAACAGGAGGATCAACAAATGCTTCCATAATTGATTCATCTCGTTGTTGTTATGAGAAACTTTGTGTGTAAGATGGATCTAAGGGTTTATTGGGTTCTGGATTCGAGGATATATTAGGTTCCTAATTTGATGGTGTAGGAAAGTTCGCTATGTAGCTACATATGTTTATTTGCAGGATAGTTTTTGTGTTGATTGATTTTCAGGTGTGTATGTGTATGTATTGATTGATTTATACGGGTCTATGTATGTGTGTCTTGGTGGCAGGCATGAAAGATTTGTTATAGGTGGAAATGATAGTGGTGGTTTTTGATTTGAGATCAAGGGGAGGACAGAAAAGTGGTATTTAACACTAAAGTAATAAATTATGGATGTGGCTCAAGGGTGGTGGGGAAAGGAGGCTACATGTGAAGGTAGTGAGGCTGAAGTTTGTGGTGGGGAGGTATTCTTCGGTGAAGGGAAAGAGAAAGGTGAGGAGATAGGATTTGAAAAAAAAGGTAAGAGGTATTTTTCTATTTTAGTATTTTTCAAGGTTGTAAAAAATGCTCGGCGGTCGACTGGTGCCAAGCGATTAATCGATGTTGGCGGTGATTAATCGGAGACCCTTAATTATTATATATATATATATATATATATATATATATATATATATATATATATATATAATCTACTATTAAAACATTTAAGTAAAAAGCCATCAAAGTACAAGTCTAAAACATAATAAGTTTAATAATCCCAAAAAAACACATTTTCATAGATTTAAATGTTCATCTACTTCTAATCTCCTCCGACATCTTCCAATATTTGAACTCCATCCGATTCATATTCACCTTCTTCGAACACTTGCTCCTCATTCTCGGACTCAAAATCTTCATCAAAAAGTTATCTAGTTGTTGAATTTTGACGGGGTGCTTGATTATCGTTAGTCCTGAGAGCTTCATCAATCGATTCCATAATTGATTCTCGGTCAACTTCGTCTATATCTCGATCATTAGAATCAACAATCCATTCTTGAGCCGAGTGAGAATCATTTGCTAAAAGCACTTCCAAAGTTCTATCTTTTCTCTTTTTTTTTTCCCATTAAATTAGCATTGAATTGAACATAAACAAGATTGTTCACTCTACTTGTCTCCAATCTATTTCGTTTCTTTGTATGTACCTATAAAAGTACACGCATAAAAGGGTTAAAAATATTTTTGATATTTAAAGTTTATAACTTTATAACTAACCGCTTCAAACGTGCTCCAATTTCTTTCACAACCCGATGAACTACTTGTTAAAGAAAGAATCCTCATTGCAATCTTTATCAAATGAGGAGTTGAGCCACCAAAAAGTCCCAACATCTTGCTATAATTTTTAAATAAAAACGCATTATTAAATTAAAAGATATAAATTTTTATTGTTTTATAAAATAAATAAATAAAAGTAAAAACAAATTACCCGGATCAAAGTCGGTATCGTTCACCATACAAGATTTATATGCAAGCTTCACTCCAAATCTATAACTTTTCCTTGTACTTTGGCAAATCAATAGTCACAACTTGTCTTTGCATCTCTAAATCTCCAAAAAGTAATGTATCAAAAAATTCAAGAAACGCATCCATTATGTTGGGATAATGTTGGAGTTGTGAATCCTTATAATGATAATAAGGATTCAAAAGATACGCCGTTAGATGTAATTTTGAATCTAGCCATCCTTTCATCTTGGTGTTTATGAGAAACTTTGTGTGTAAGATGGATCTAAGGGTTTATTGGGTTCTGGATTCGAGGATATATTAGGTTCCTAATTTGATGGTGTAGGAAAGTTCGCTATGTAGCTACATATGTTTATTTGCAGGATAGTTTTTGTGTTGATTGATTTTCAGGTGTGTATGTGTATGTATTGATTGATTTATACGGGTCTATGTATGTGTGTCTTGGTGGCAGGCATGAAAGATTTGTTATAGGTGGAAATGATAGTGGTGGTTTTTGATTTGAGATCAAGGGGAGGACAGAAAAGTGGTATTTAACACTAAAGTAATAAATTATGGATGTGGCTCAAGGGTGGTGGGGAAAGGAGGCTACATGTGAAGGTAGTGAGGCTGAAGTTTGTGGTGGGGAGGTATTCTTCGGTGAAGGGAAAGAGAAAGGTGAGGAGATAGGATTTGAAAAAAAAGGTAAGAGGTATTTTTCTATTTTAGTATTTTTCAAGGTTGTAAAAAATGCTCGGCGGTCGACTGGTGCCAAGCGATTAATCGATGTTGGCGGTGATTAATCGGAGACCCTTAATTATTATAATATATATATATATATATATATATATATATATATATATATATATATATATATATATATATATATATATATATATATATATATATATATATATATATATATCTACTATTAAAACATTTAAGTAAAAAGCCATCAAAGTACAAGTCTAAAACATAATAAGTTTAATAATCCCAAAAAAACACATTTTCATAGATTTAAATGTTCATCTACTTCTAATCTCCTCCGACATCTTCCAATATTTGAACTCCATCCGATTCATATTCACCTTCTTCGAACACTTGCTCCTCATTCTCGGACTCAAAATCTTCATCAAAAAGTTATCTAGTTGTTGAATTTTGACGGGGTGCTTGATTATCGTTAGTCCTGAGAGCTTCATCAATCGATTCCATAATTGATTCTCGGTCAACTTCGTCTATATCTCGATCATTAGAATCAACAATCCATTCTTGAGCCGAGTGAGAATCATTTGCTAAAAGCACTTCCAAAGTTCTATCTTTTCTCTTTTTTTTTCCCATTAAATTAGCATTGAATTGAACATAAACAAGATTGTTCACTCTACTTGTCTCCAATCTATTTCGTTTCTTTGTATGTACCTATAAAAGTACACGCATAAAAGGGTTAAAAATATTTTTGATATTTAAAGTTTATAACTTTATAACTAACCGCTTCAAACGTGCTCCAATTTCTTTCACAACCCGATGAACTACTTGTTAAAGAAAGAATCCTCATTGCAATCTTTATCAAATGAGGAGTTGAGCCACCAAAAAGTCCCCAACATCTTGCTATAATTTTTAAATAAAAACGCATTATTAAATTAAAAGATATAAATTTTTATTGTTTTATAAAATAAATAAATAAAAGTAAAAACAAATTACCCGGATCAAAGTCGGTATCGTTCACCATACAAGATTTATATGCAAGCTTCACTCCAAATCTATAACTTTTCCTTGTACTTTGGCAAATCAATAGTCACAACTTGTCTTTGCATCTCTAAATCTCCAAAAAGTAATGTATCAAAAAATTCAAGAAACGCATCCATTATGTTGGGATAATGTTGGAGTTGTGAATCCTTATAATGATAATAAGGATTCAAAAGATACGCCGTTAGATGTAATTTTGAATCTAGCCTTCCTTTCATCTTGGTGTTTATGATATCTATAATAGGCTTGTAAGTTTTCTCTTGGCCACCCAAAGCTTTCATAACTTCTTCTTTTGCTACTTTAATCTCTTCGTAAACAAAACCCATTGAAGGCTTCCAATCCGCATCAACCATTCGAAGAACTTTCACCAAAGGGGAAAACACTTTTAAACATAGTGTCACACCGGCCCAAAATTGGAGACTTGTCACCGTTCCATATGAGGTTCTCCCTTTAGGAGTACCAGAAAATTTGCATTACTCTCACTCGGTGCTTGTGAACATATGTTTTAGTTGCTCTCTTTTTTCGGATAAGCTTTGTAATGTTAGAAAGGCGGAAGCGAATCTTGTGACTCCCGATCAGATAATTTCCATTTTCTTGGTGCAGTCTCTCATCATAGCTAAGGTTTTGTGGTGGGCATAAATGAATATGGTTAGTTTCTTTGCTTGATCTAGGATTTTCTTAAACCTTGGAAGTCCACCAATACCTTGAAGAAATAAACATGATGAATAATAAATTAATGAATTACAGTATAAAATAAAACATGTTGAATAATAAATTAAAAACATGTTAAAACTAAATAATGTAATAAAAAAATATAAATACCTTCGAGCATAAGGTTAATGGTGTGTGTCGCACATAATATCCAAAAAAATTGTTGGTCTTTTCTCTTTTAGTAGCTTCGCCGCTCCCGTGTTATTCGTGGCATTATCGGTCACAACTTGAACAACATGCTCGGGACCAACTTGTTTGATGCAAGATTCCACATAATCATATATATGGTGGCTTATATGTGCTTCACTGGAACATTCTTTTGATGATAAAAACACAATAGCCATTTTTGAATTTACACATAAATTCATAATGCTCCTTTTTTTTTATCGGACCAAGCATCTGTCATGATCGAGCATCCAATCTCTTTCCATTCAGCTTCGTTTCTTTTCAACAAACTTTTTGTTCTTTCAACCTCAAGCTTGAGAAGTGGGCCACTCAAAGAATATCTAGTAGGAGGTGGAAGCCCGATTCCAAATTGGCCAATAACCTCCAACATCATTTTGAAGCTATCATCTTCCAATGCATGAAACAAAATCAAAGTTTTATATGCCCACCTACTAATGAATTCATGACATGCTAATATTCTATCTTTCCGAACAATATCGTTAAGATCAACTTTTCTTCCCTTTCCCTTCTTCGGGGTTTATTTTGTTTGCATAGGTATCCATTAGGCCAATAACCTTTGGTGCTTTAGACCCCAAAAAATCTTCAGTTTCATCCACATCAACACTGTCATGTAATTCTTGCATCGCCTCCGATCTTAAGGCCTTATCGTGTGTGTGTTTAGCTATCTTTTTTAACTTCCCTTCGTTAAGATAATTTCGAAATTTCAATTGGTCATCTTTAGTAGAGTTTGGACAAGCAGTAACATTTCCCGGGACATGAGCAATATATTGTTTAAATCGATAAATCCCCCCGCTAATTACTTTTCCACACAAGTTACATTTAACTCTATCCAACTTGTTTTTATCTGGGCAAAAACCATATTCCCAACCAATGTCATCCAAATTCCGTTTATAAGCAGCGGTGGCAGTATTAGAAGTCATAGTTCATCCACAACTGTCATATAAACAATAATAACATCAGATTTTAGTGAACAGATAAAAACACAGGAAACATAAAAACCCAACAAAAGAAACTAACAGTAACATTAGGAAATAGAAACACCAAACAGGAAATGATTACTATAAAAAGTTACATAATTGTACTGATAAATAACAACAATCACAGAAGGAACAACAAAAGAAACTAACCCACCAAGCACCATCAAGCAAACACCAAAAACAAACCCACTAACAGTAACATTATGAAACAGAATGAAATGATTATTGTAATAAAATTACATAATCTGTGTTTTGGACATGAAGCAATCACAGATGGAACCAATAGCAAAAACCAACTCACAACTCCATCAAACACAAAAAAAAAAAAAAGCAAAAAAACGCAGAAGGCAAACACATAACATCCAGGGGTAAAATGGTCCACCACACCAAAAACAACTAGAAAGAACAAAACGCAGAGCAATCTCAGCAAAAAAAAAACACAGAGGAATTATAGAAAACAACGTGAAATCGAAATTGTACAGCTGCATAGAGATCACGATAATGAACTTCTAGGGGGCAAACACATAACATCCAGGGGTAAAACGGTCCACCACACCAAAAACAACTAGAAAGAACAAAACCCAGAGCAATCTCAGCAAAAAAAAAAAACGCAGAGGAATTATAGAAAATAACGTGAAATCGAAATTGTACAACTGCATAGAGATCACGATAATGAACTTCAAGGGGTAAAATGGTCCACCACACCGAAAAAGAAAGAAAAACAATGCATAACTGATGTGTAGAGATCACGATAATCACTTTTACAATAACCGGTTACTCACATAACATCCATTAAAGATCAGTAAACATCCCAGAGCAAAGATTCAAGAATACATACGTGTCTGAGTTGCGTTTCCTGGCTCTGTGAGTTGCGTCGCCTGCCCTTGTGTCGGCGTTTGATGGTGTCGCCGTCGTTCGATGGTGCCGTGTCGATGGTGTCGATTGTCGAAGTGTTGTCAACGAGAACTGTGATGCTAAAGCACAAGGAGATCACCGTCTGTAGAGAGAAAAAAAAAGAGAGGAAAGGAATTGACAAAAATAACTTTTAGGGTTGACTGAACGAATTTGGAGCCTTTTTCCAATTTTGAGCGGAAAATCACTTTTTTTTTTTTTAATAGTTGAATTTAGTTGACTGATTAGGCCGATTAACCCGCCAAGAACTGGTGTCGACCGATATTGACCAAAGACCGATTAGATTTACCGCCTAGCCTTAATCGTAATCGGCCCATGGCCGCTAAGCGATTAATTGCCGATTAATCGGCCGCCAAAGCCGATTTCTGCAACACTGGTATTTTTTTTTTTTAATATTTAGAAATTATTTAAAATCTATAAAAAGAAAAATGGGGTAAAATAGTCTTTTTAGTTTGGAGATAAACTAAATCTACAATAAAACTATACTAAAAATGATAAAATCTACAAGTTTTAAAGATTTGGACATTAACCACACATAAAATGAAAAGTAGATGGACTATTTTTACAATTTTATCAATACAGGGTAAGTCTAATGGATTTTTGTTTGTGTAAGAGTAGAGACCCACCCTCTTTCTTTTATCTTTCCTTTCCTGCTCCTGCACTGTTATGTGATTTTATGCTTGAACCCAACAATAGTCCCATCCCCACGCTCCTCCCCCTTCTAACCGGCCCATGCTTTGAATCCACCTCTTAAATCATATTCATTCACCCACGCGCTGGTGACATGATCTACGAGAAACCGTCAAACCGATGGATGGATTGAGGAAAAACCATGCATTGACTTTTTAATTCGCAGCATTCCTCGCATCACATGATCTGTCGAAAACCCTTTCTCTCAAATATTATGTTCTTTCTTTCAAATCTACATTATACCCACCTCCGACTTCTCACGTTTTTATTGGGTATTAGGATTTTATTCCATTTTATCCTTGTTCTTCCTGAAAATATGTTAGAGAGCTAGTGCTTTGAATGTTTTGTGTGTGTTCGATCTGCTGTATTTATAGTTTTGGTTTAAATCTGGTCTCAAATCATTGATAGTTTTTAGTAACTGATCATAATGGCTCTTCCGGAAATAGGGTCTTCATCTTCTTCACCGATTGGTGGCCATACGTATGACGTATATTTAAACTTTAGAGGTACCAATAATCGTTATAGTTTCACTGAGCACCTTAATAAAGCCCTTGTAGATGCCACTTTCACTACCTTCTTTAGTGATGAAAAGATTGAAATAAAGGAAGGTCTGAAACCAGATCTCGAGAGTGCAATTAAAGCATAAAACTTCAATGAAAGAATTTTCATTGGAAAAGGTGGATACGGAAGAGTCTACAAGGGAATCCTCACCTGGGGGGATCATGTAAACAAGCTAGTCGCTGTAAAACGGCTAGAGATCAATAATAATCAAGGTAACAAGGAGTTCCAAACCGAGCTCACAATGCTTTCACAATATAAACATCACAACATTGTAACCCTTATTGGGTTTTGTAATGCTAACAATGAGATGATCCTTGTTTACGAATACGCAAGCAATGGAAGCCTCGACACACATTTGCTTAACCCTTCCTCTACATTGTCATGGGTACAACTCCTCAAAATATGCATCGACGTTGCTTCTGCATTGGACTATCTTCATAATCATGTTGCACAAAAACACAGAATAATACATCGCGATATTAAAAGTGCAAATATTTTGTTGGATGAAAATTTGAATGCAAAACTTGCGGATTTTGGGTTGGCTAAGATAGGATTAGCTAATCAACAAAATAGCTTTGTGATAACTAATATTGCGGGGACATATGGTTACATGGACCCACAATACGGAAGAACGGGGTTTTTAACAAAAGAATCGGATGTTTATTCTTTTGGTGTGGTTTTGTTTGAAGTTTTGTGTGGAAGGGTGGCGTGTGTAGATTATAATGATGAGCGGAAATTCCTCTTTCATTATGCTCCAACTTGTTATAAAAATGGTGATATGGAAAAGATTGTTGATCAAAGAATAAGGAAAGACATCAATCCAATAACGTTGCTCAAGTTTGCAGCTACTGCTTATCAATGCTTGCAAGAAACTCGGGAACACCGGCCTACAATTGCTGAGGTTGTGTTTCAACTAAAGGAGGCAATGGAAATTCAAGTAAGTATATATGAATTGAATGGTATATTTATCAAAGTTTCAATGTCAGTTTTTTATCAAATCAAATCCATCAATATGGACATGTTTTAAGGAAAAAAAAAATTAGGATTATCTACATAGAAGTACATGACTTACTGACACATCATTTGTTTGTTTAATTCATTTTCAGTTAGAAGATGAGATCCTCGGATGAACTACACTTCATGAATCGAGTTCAGAACATTGATGATATCTCTTTTTTTTTTCTTCTTCATTTTCAGTTTTGTGCTTTTGTTCTTTTTCTTCTTTTCTTGTACCACTTCCGTGTAGCAACCATGTAACTTGTAGATTATAATCCTTGTTCATTTCATCTCCTTGTGTTTTCGCATTCTTCCAGTCTTTCACTTTGTGTTTTTTTTTTTTTTTTTTTTGCATTGTGTGCGTTCCCTTTTACTTTTGTACACTATGCTGTGTGATCTTTTTACTCTTCATTGCACTTTTTTTTTCAAAAGCAACTATATTTAAGTGTACTTGCAATAGAAAAGTTGTATACTATGTAACTCATGTTCGTATTGTTGACAAGCTTTGTTAAAATGGGTTTAGTTCAGCGACGCAAGACAGCATGAACATGTCCGAGGAGCAAATATTCATTCATTTTCGCTTTAGGATTAGAGTTTTAAAATTGATCGAAAAAGGCTTTAGGTCCACGTTCCACCCAAGGCTTACAATTGTCTAGCCTCTATTTAAAAACTTGTTATATATTCAGCCAACAAATATAATGTCGTGCTAAACATAATTATTTAATTAAAATTTAATAAATATATTATTAAAATCAAGTATTTTTATCGTGAGATAATACATCCACTACTACAAAAAGTGTATTACTGACGGCTAAAACCGTCAGTATCTGTCGCTAACAAAAAAGAGTATTACCGACGGCTAAAACCGTTGGTATCCATCGCTAATACTATTTATCGACAGAATTGTAACAGACCATAGACCAAAATCTGTCTGGTATATTCTTATCACTAATTGTTTGTAACAGCTTTCTAACGGCTACGATTAACTTTTAGCAATGGATTTTTCCGTCGGTAATTAGTGACGAATCACTAACAAGATATTTTTTTTGCAACGGATTACCGACGGAATACGTCTGTAATGGATTACTAATGTAATAATTCACTAATGGATTACCGACGAAATATAAAATAACTTACTAACGAATTACCGATGGGATCTGGAATAACTTACTAACAGATTACCGATAGATTTATTGTGACTGATTAGCGATAGATTTTGGCCTTATATATATATATATATATATATATATATATATATATATATATATATATATATATATATATATATATATATATATATATATATATATATATATATATATATTAGTTTATAACCCGTGGGAACCATGGTTATAAAATTAATTAAATTTTTATAGTAAAACTCAAAATTATTAATCAATTATTTTAAATAAATTATTAATTAAGAGATGTTTTTATTAGTTTTATGAAATTATAATCATTGATTCAAATAAATATGTAAAATTATTTTTTAAGATATATTAGACATTTTTATTTGTGAATTAATGAAAACAATAATATAAATTTAAAATTTAAAATTTAAAATTTAAAATAGAGAATAAATACATTAACAAATAGCATCACATTAATGATGATGTCTAATAAATTTAAAATAGAGAACTAATAGACTGACAAGTATCGACACATTAATTAAGAGGTCTAATATGATGACACATGGCAAAAGAACTATTCTTTTATTAATATATATATATATATTCATGAAAAAATTAAAAATAATTACATATTCAACACATTATAATTTTAAACCTACATCAAATCTATATTTTAAAACCAACAAATATAAAAGTAAAAAAGTTTCAATATTCAACATACAGTAAATCCATACATTTCAATCCATATTCGATATTTAAAATGGCATCAAATTATAATCTCCGGCCAATACTTCACCGATAAAGTGGCCGAGTATCTTTTTGTTTGATTGTCGATGATTAGACTCCAAGTTTGTTGCACAACAAGTGTGTCGGTCAACAACTTTTGTGACTTGGAAAGCAGTAGTCGATTTGATTCCCCTTGCCCTAACCATCCAAGAACATTTTTCTACCAAACAAACCACCTTGAACCTCTCTTTGCTCAATTTGGTAGTCTTATACTGCTTACCTTGTTCCATGCATTATCTTCCAACTGCAAGTTTGAGCAACTCTTTGTCATCAAATATGTCTAGAACCTTAATCTCTTCATTTATATCCACCATCTAACATGGAATGTTCACATCATTGTTTACAGGACACAAAGGTAATGGGGGCATACCATGAAACATGGTATCTGAATAAATAAGTTTAGGTTCATCATCAAATTCTTCTCCGTTAGAATCACTCTCTAGGCTGGATATATCCAACTTGTCACAATCCGCAAACTCGCCATATCCTTTTAGTTCACCATCATGCAAAAATGTAACTTCTTGTTTTCCAGATTCATTACCAACCTTATCCACCACGTCTAGTGCTTTTTTTAGTCAAAGTAATGATTTACACCAACATCATTAACATATGTACCAACATCATTATCTCCGATATACTTAAAATTCTCCGGTATGACATACATAATCGGTTATGGGACTACAAGCACTACATTTACATTTTCAGCAACACTATGATATTGACTTTTACTTGGACTTTTAAAATTACCTATTGGGTTGTTGCTCCCTTTTCCACTTGATAAATTAGTTGCAGATGCATTTCCTCTATCATCCACTTCGTTACGCGATACGCCTTCTTCAACCACCACATAGACAGACACAGATTTATCTCCAACGGTATTTATTACCTTGATCAGCTTTCTAATATCACGATCATCAACAATACCACAATAATAGAGTTGTTCTGGATGTTGATAAGTCAGACTGACTTTTGATTCTTCGAGAAGCCCATCTTGCACTTTACCAAAGGTGTACGTGGTGGTTTCGTAAAATTCAACACCGAAATAAAACATTCTCGGATTGTATTCGGGTGGCCAAACATATGATAATTGGGAATTAACAAACTCCCATCTTCCATCCGTAATGAACAATACGAAATACTCATTATGCTAATTTAGAGAAAAAAAAAAAAGCTAGAGAGAAGTGCAGTTTTCAAAATACGAAATAATTTCAAAAGTATGAAATACTTAATATATATATATATATATATATATATATATATATATATATATATATATATATATATATATATATATATATATATATAGGGTAGGTTCAAAATAGTAGTCCACTGTGACAAAAAAGTAGTCACGTTTAACAAAATAGTAGTCCTCTCTAACAAAAAAATAGTCAAGTTTTACAAAACAGTAGTCCAATCTGATAAAAAAGCAGTCAAGTTTAGCAAAACTAGTTTTTATATTTTACAAAAAATATTTTTTAACAAAATAATTGTCAAAAAACAACTCTACATTTTATAAACAATATAATTGTTAAAATAATTCTACATCTTATAAACAATTTTTTTAATACTCTACATCACAAAAAGAATACGTTTTTTTTTAAAGTCTAATGTTTGGAATTCTAAAAAAAATTAACAAAATAATTGTTAAAATAATTCTACATCTTATAAAAAAATTTTAAAAAATTAAAAAAAAAAAAACAAAAAATTAAACCGTAGGTTTTTTCACAAAACAATAGACGAAACCTCAAAAACAGTAGATTTAAAAAAAAAAATGTATTTTTTCCCCAAATCCGTAGGCTATGATTTGGGATACCGTAGCTAAACCGAGAGGAAACCGTAGGTTTCCCAAAACCTACAGTTTTGTAGCTTAAAAATGAAAAAAAAAAATTATACAAAATACGAAACAGTAAATGATATGACGAAACAGTAAACGATTTTAGAAACCTACGGTTTCGTGGGCTATATTTAGACATTTACTAATTTTTGGCTAAAAATGATAATTACTTCCTTAATTTGGTCAAATTAGTAATTACTCCTAAATAAAAAGCATTTAAAAATTAGCGCCGTTAATACTATACAAAAAAAAAAAAAAAAAAAAAAAAAAAAAAAAAAAAACCCTCCAATAGTCTCAAACAAATGGCAACTCATCTGTTCCCACTTCCCACCCACTAAGTCGTTTTATTACCTACACTGTGACAGGAGAAACCGATGGATGGATTGTGGAACCACCGTTGACTCTTAGCAGTACTCCTTTCTACCAAATATTATCTTGTTCCTGTCAAATCTACATTATACTCACCTCCGAATTTCGTTTAGGTGATCACGTTTTTTTTTTGGGTATTAGGCTTTGATTCCATTTTATCCTTGTTCTTTCTGAAAATATGTTAGGGAGCTAGAGCTTTGAATGTTTGGTGGGTGTTCAGTTTACTTTTTTGATAGTTTTGGTGTATCCATTACTCTTCAACTGATTGTAAATCTGTTCTCAAATCATTGATTGTGTTAAGTAACTCATAATGGCTCTTCCGGAATTAGCGTCTTCATCTTCTTCACCAATTGATGGTCATACTTATACGTATGACGTATTTTTATGCTTTAGAGGTGTCGATACTCGTTATAATTTCACCGATCACCTTAATAACGCCCTCGTAGCTGCCAACATCACTACCTTCTTTAGTGATGAAAAAATTGAAATGGGGGTAGATCTGAAACCAGATTTGGAGAGTGCGATTAAAGCATCTAGGGCTTCTGTTATCGTGTTATCAATAAATTTTGCTGCTTCGACATGGTGCCTTGACGAATTGGTGCTGATTCTTGAGCAACGTAGGATATCCAACCATATTGTTGTTCCCATCTTTTATCATGTTGAGCCCATCCACGTCAGGAAGCTACAAAGTAGCTTCGAAAATGCCATGGCTATGCATAGTCAAAGGATGGAGATGGAGATCGATACTGTAAATAAAAGTCATCGGGCTCAAAAGATAGACGGATTCAAAAAAGCGCTTGCAGAAGTTGCGAATCTAAAAGGGATGCTAGTATATGGGGACAAGTAAACAGTTTTTTACCCATATTTCCATACTCCATTTGATTTATATTGCTAAATAACACGTGAAATGTCAATGTAATCTTCTCCTGTGCATTTCAGTAGGTTTCTTCAACATCATACATAAAGACATATTCGTAACTTAATTCATGTATAAACGAGATAGCACACAATTTATCATAAAAGTTTTCAAATATGTGATTTTATAAATTATAGAAAGATAGACTCTAGTGAGAATCCATTAATTTATTTACATAATAAACCCTTAAAACTTAATTAAACAGATAGCTTAATGCAATGTAATTTTTATTGAAACACATAACTTAATAAGAATTACTATGCAAGTTTGACAGAGCGGTCCAAACGTATATGGGCCCAGGGCGAAAAGAAAAAAAGGGCCCATTAAAGAAAAATATAATAAAGATTCAAAAAAAATCATTTATTCTTCACTATAATCACGTTCAATTAGCAATAACAAGCAAGTTAAATTGTTTATCTTTTGAGCTAGTTTGAGTTTGAACCAAATTTAGACCTTAAAAATCATTTTGGTAATAATTGGTTTATATATATACACTATATAATCCATAAATTTTGGGCCCCTTTGAGTCGTGGCCCCTGGGCAGTCGCCCGGGTTGCCCACCGTCTGGACCGACCCTGGATATTTTGGATAAATTCGATCTAGAAAACAGGTATGCTAGTTTTCTGGTTCTTACTAATATTAATTTTTAGGCGAGAGTCAGAGGTTATTCAAGACATTGTTAAAGACCTCAAGCGTAGATTAAACTTATCTTCAATGAGTTCTCTACCACAAGACGTGAGATTTCATCCAGAGGTTAGTACCCAAATTAAAAATGTGTATATAATATAATATGATTAGGTTATGTTTGTTACGTTAAGCCTAGTTAGATATTAATTAGTCCAGTTGGTCATGTGTCGGATGAAGCAACCAAATCACCCCGAGATCCCACTCCAAGCCATAAAGTATTGTACAGATGACTTCAACGAAAAAAATATGATTGGAAAAGGTGGATTCGGAAAGGTCTACAAGGGAATCCTCACATGGGGGGATCATGTAAACAAGCCAGTCACTGTAAAACGGCTAGAGATCAATAATAATCAAGGTAACAAGGAGTTCAACACCGAGCTCAAAATGCTTTCACAGTATCGGCATCACAACATTGTAACCCTTATTGGGTTTTGTAATGTTAACAATGACATGATCCTTGTTTACGAATACGCAAGCAATGGAAGCCTTGACAAACATTTGCTTAATCCTTCCTCTCAACTTTCATGGCTACAACTCCTCAAAATATGCATCGACGTTGCTTCTGCATTGGAGTATCTTCATAATCATGTCGCAAAAAAACACAGAATAATACATCGCGATATTAAAAGCGCAAATATTTTGTTGGATGAAAACTGGAATGCAAAACTTGCGGATTTTGGGCTGGCTAAGATAGGATTAGCTAATCAACAAAACAGCAATGTGATAACTAATGTTGCCGGGACATTTGGTTATATCGACCCACAATATGGAAGAACGGGGTTTTTAACAAAAGAATCGGATGTTTATTCTTTTGGTGTGGTTTTGTTTGAAGTTTTGTGTGGAAGGGTGGGGTGTGTAGATTATAATGATGAGCGGAAATTCCTCTTTCATTATGCTCCAACTTGTTATAAAAATGGTGATATGGAAAAGATTGTTGATCAAAGAATAAGGAAAGACATCAATCCAATAACGTTGCTCAAGTTTTCAGCTACTGCTTATCAATGCTTGCAAGAAACTCGGGAACACCGGCCTACAATTGATGAGGTTGTGTTCCAACTAAAGGAGGCCATGAAAATTCAAGTAAGTGTATATGAATTCTTATCAAAGTTTCAGTGTCGTTTTGTATGAAATCAAATCCATCAATATGGACATGTTTTACGGGAAAAAGAAACTTAGGATTATCTACATAGAAGTACATGACTTAACTTACTGACACATCGTTTGTTTGTTTAATTCATTTTCAGTTAGAAGATGAGAACCTCTGATGAATACACTTCATGAATCGACTTCAGAACATTGATGACGTGTCTCTTTTTTTTTTTTTCTTCATTTTCAGTTTTATGATTTTGTTTTCTTTTTGTTCTTTTCTTGTACAACTTCCGTGTAACAACTATGTAACTTGTAGATTATAATCCTTGTTGATTTCACTCCCTGTGTCGTTTTCCTCCTTCCTTTGATCTTTCACTTTTGGTTTTTGTTTTGCTTTGTGTGCGTTCCCTTTTACTTTTGTACACTATGCTGTGTGATCTTTTTACTCTTCATTGCACTTTTTTTTTTCAAAAGCAACTATATTTAAGTGTACTTGCAATAGAAAAGTTGTATACTATGTAACTCATGTTCCTATTGTTGACAAGCTTTGTTAAAATGGGTTTAGTTCAGCGACGCAAGACAGCATGAACATGTCCGAGGAGCAAATATTCATTCATTTTCGCTTTAGGATTAGAGTTTTAAAATTGATCGAAAAAGGCTTTAGGTCCACGTTCCACCCAAGGCTTACAATTGTCTAGCCTCTATTTAAAAACTTGTTATATATTCAGCCAACAAATATAATGTCGTGCTAAACATAATTATTTAATTAAAATTTAATAAATATATATTATTAAAAATAATTATTTTTGTCGTGAGATAATACTTCCACTACAACAAAAAAGAGTATACCGACGGCTAAAACCGTCGCTAATACTATTTACCGACATAATTGTAACATATCATAGACCAAAATATGCCCAGTATATTCTTATCGCTAATTGTTTGTACCAGATCTTTAACGGCTATGAATGACTTTTAGCAATAGATTTTTCCATCGGTATTAGTAACGAATCACTAATAGATTATTTTTTGCAACGGATTACCGATGAAATATGTTTTTAACATATTACCGACAAAATATACAATAACTTACTAACGAATTAGAGATCTGGAATAACTTACTAACAAATTACCGATAGATTTATTGTGACTGATTAGCAACACTTTTTGACATTATATATATATATATATATATATATATATATATATATATATATATATATATATATATATATATATACATACATACATATATTACAACCCCACCTAAGCTTAGGTATTAAACCTATAAAATACGTTGTTTTAACTTAGTAAATACACCCGATTTGGTTTTCACTTGGTAGTATATCATCCTCGATATCATTTCTTTCCTCCATTATCATTTTACTATCCTTATTTTCTTTCCTCTATTATCGTTTATTACTTCAACCCAGTGAATATTACTTTTTTCCACTGTCACGAAGATATAAGATAATATATATTCTTGCTTCCTTATCAAAACTATTGTGTTGATCTTGAATCTACATCTTCAATTGTTAATCGTGAATCCTCTAACCGCAATTTTTATATAGTAAAACAACGTATTTTCATGAGGTTTAGGTGAGGCTGTAATGTATATTCATTTTTCCATATATATATATATATATATATATATATATATATATATATATATATATATATATATATATATATACACAGAGAGAGAGAGAGAGAGAAATTAATGAAAAAATTAAAAATTAAGAATAGTTACATATTCAACACATAAAATTTTAAACATACATCAAATCTATATTTTAAAACCAACAAATATAAAAATAAAAAAGTTTCAATATTCGACATACATTAAATCCATAAATTTTAATCCATATTATGAGAATTTCTCTATTCCAATCAAACAAATAAAAGTTCAATACATATCGATTGAAGGCAAACATGCAGCAAGTAGCGCCGCTGTCCCTTTCTGGATGGCAAAACCAATTTTTTTTTTGAAAACAACATTTGTGGATCTAGGAGATGTGACATTAGAATGTATGACCTGCTGGACTCTATTAAGGAGCTCCACCGCCTCTGGTGCGTGAAAACCAAATGTATCGAAAGCAAAAGGAACAAACACATGTTGATTTTCTCTACATGCATTCTCGTGCTTTACCACTTTGCACGCAGCGGCTTTCAAAGCGGCATGCCCAGTTGTGAAACCCCTGCTCCCCAAACCAACAAGAGGAGAGACCCCAATAAGATCCACACACGCATGCTTCTCTCCTATCCATCCAAATACCAAAATATCAGTCGGTCTAAGTGTGGACCTGCTATCCTGCGGGTCCGTCAAAAAGTTCACTGGCGCTTCTTTCTTCACAGAAATACCAGCTCGCCGACAAGTAGCAAAGAGAACATCCTGAACCACATCATGTCTATACTTTAAACTAGGGAGCTCTCTACAATGAACCGCGTGTTCCCCAAAGGTATCCAAAAATGCCTTGCGACAAACTAGGCATATCTCGTCAATTGGGAATATGGGAATCATGAGGCGGTAACGAAGGATAGTTTGGTACTCCACATGAGACATATGCTGGCCAAGATCATCAATAGGGATAGGTAGCAAAAAATCTTGAGCATGAGGCGCCCGCAGACACTCAAAGACTGTTTTTTGTCTGACAATCATGTCGAAGTCGACTTCCATATCTTGGACGATTTTGCTAAAAAGGGCACACGCCAAAGCTTTTTGGGATTTAGGGGGGTGGTGTCCTTATTAGTGAAACCGCTACAGTCAAATCCCATAATCGTATCACGAAGACGAGTCATAGCACATAGGTAATCCAAGTCCATACCACATATGCCATTGTCACGTAAGATGTGGTCTTGTAATGCCCAAGATTGGGCCCTCGAGGCTACAAATGCGTAGGAGGAAACCTCGTAGGCCGAGTACAAACCCAAACCACCGAAACAAATAGGTAAGGAAGCCAAGCGCCACTGAATGTCTCCAAAGAAGGGGTCTCCACATACCACCATATCCTCGATAGACCTGCGCAATCGTTTGTCAAAGAATAATGCTACCTCTTCTATGTGTACTGGCTGGCATGTCCTTAAACCAAAGAAAAGTTTTGCAATGCCCATACATGATGGAAGCAAAAGGAGCTCACTCTGTGGGTAACATAGTTGTGGAAGAAGGCCCATCAAATCAACATCATTGACCGCTCTCTTCATGGCCATCGACTTCATATGCATCTGTTCGAATCGATTGTTATTGAGTTCTCTTCTTGTTTTCTCGATTTTTTTTTCCGTTTGATGTTGAATGCTCATCTGAAAATGGGTTTTGATTCATGTGATTTGGGACATGATGAAATCGAATTCATACAAGTTTAAGTGAAAAAATCAATAATTAAGTCTATGATTCTGTTGAAATCGGTCAAGAATTATGGAATTTTTGTGAAGAACATATGAAGAACAATTTGTTTATCAAGTTTTTGATCTAAATTCGGGCATTAGAGTCGTCAATTTCTTGTTTATGGATCTTTGACTTTGAAAAGTCAAACTGAGAACAAGTTAATCTCGATGATTGTTGATTTGTCAATGATTGGTAATTTTTGATTGTTGGTTGACGAAGGATTGTGATAGATTGTTGGTGTCATCGATTATTTTAGAGGTCAAAATGGTTTTGGATTTTGATTTCGAAAAGCTAAGAACGAATTTTTGGAGTCAAGAATGTTTGTGTATGACATCAATATCGAGTTCGCTTGGTTGTGGCTATGTGGTTTTGTTTTCGGAAGTAGATTGAAGACTTTGGGGTTCAATTAGTCTGAGATCGAACTAAATTTGAAGTTGATGTCAATGGCCAATACATATATTGAAATCGACGATTTAAGGTTTAATGGTTGAAGTCTTTGAAATCGGATGAGACAAAACAATCAAAATTGTAGTTTGACTCCACTATGATATTAATTTCGATCAATAATTGAAGCCTTGAAGTTAGATTAATGATGATTGGATTCGATGGATGAACAGGTGGGTAACGATGGTGTTCATGTGCGAAGACTAATCGTTGATGTCGATTTTACAGTCGATGGTTTGTTAAAAAACGAATGAAGGATTGTGGTTGATTGTTTGAAATCGACTAAGATAGTTTGGGGACGAACAAGGATTGTTTGATTTAGAATCGATGTTCAATGGTTTGTGATGTCGATGATAGGTTGTTGGTAGCAAATGATGAAGTGTTGCTGTTGTTTGTGTTGTTGGGTCCGTTTAAGGTTTGATGAACAAAAAGTTAAGAACTGTTTGTTGTTGATGATTTTGGAATGTTTAATAGCGAAGATTTTTGGCACAACAGGTTCCTGCAAAATTCTGTTATTGACGGTTTTTACCTGGATTTTGGAAAATCTTGCAATTCTCATCCAGAAGTTGAAAATTTTCATAAATTGGAAAAAAATTTCGAGGCTTTTTCGTGATTGTTTTTCCATGCAATTTTTTAGGGAGTTTCATTTTTGGTACACCTCAAGTGGGAGTATTGTTAAGTTCATTCATCGGGTGCTTCTCACCCTTAATGGGTTTTATAATCATTTTTTGATTATAAAAAGGGGGAGAATTATGGGTATTCGAAGCGGGTTTTTCCGGGTATTCATTGCGGATTTGAAGACCGGAGTTAATTCGTGTCACACCCCCAAACCAAGGATGGTGGAAACGCTCGGGGGTGGAGGACTTCATGTACAGTATCATAACAACAAGTATAATAGTGACCATAGCAAACACAAACAACATAAATATAATTGAAAATTTTAAACCATAGTATGAGTTTACATGTTTCTAAATCAATTACATTATGTTGACAAAAATGAAATGTTTGACGCCTTAGCGTCCCATCCTCAAAAGCAACTGATTACTTGTTTTACTGACTTTCTGAGAATACAAGTAGTTTTGAAAGAGTGTCAACAATTAAGTTGGTGAGTTCATAAGTTTTTGAATGAAATGTTGAAATCCTTTCTTTGTAAAAGTATTGTTTACTCCCGAAAAAAATCCAATATTTTCCTTTTAAAATGTATCGTAGTCTTAAATGTCAAGACTAATAATGTGCAAGTATTTTCCATATTTAAAGTGGTCCATGCAAGTTTAAATCGACATAAACTCGTTTAACTGAAAGAAAATCCCATAAATCTTATGTTTTGTTAATACCTCATGTGAGTTATTA